TGCCATTGCACCAACCTTAGAAAATGTTAAGGCCTTAGCCGCTACCGTGAGTTGATGCTTTCCTTATTTTGTTCTTATGTCTATCTGGACGTCGAGTTTAAATATCCAAATGATGAATTTGACTCCTGAGACGAAATAATTGTCGAGAGACAAGTTGAACATAGTCGGAAAAACGTTTTCATCAGAGTTTGTTTGTTTATGATTTCCCTCGCACGCACTAAACGCACTGAATCGGTTAATAGATATAAATCATTATAAGCATTTCTATTTTTTTTTTTTAGTTCTTGAGCAACGCCACACAATTGACCGCCAAAGCTGCAAGTGAAGCTGTCACATTCTTCAAACCATTCGCCGGTGTTTTAGGACCAATATTCACAAAGATCCAAAGTCTTGCCCAACCCTTATTAGGTTAATAAATATGGAATTAACTTATTCGTTGTTGTTTATATTTCTGCACCTCCAATTTATAAAGACTATAGCTTACAATGGGATGATCCATGAAGGAACACAAAATGTCGAGTACGAACAGCTGTATTTTCACAATGTCAAGCTATTACGATCTGTGTCTATTGCAGTTTGTAAATACAGCTATTTGATTGGATTGTACGCTAGCGAATACAGTCAATCAGAGCCCTCGATAAAACACGCAGTCAATCGTTTTCAGTCTTTTTGTCAACTGATTGGCTGTATTAGCTAGCGTACAATCCAATCGCATCACTACAATTAAAAACCGTCCGTGATACAAGAAAGGCGGTTATTGTAGTTAAGATTCAGACGCAGTTTATTCAGTGGTAGCGCCAGCCTCCCTCACCCTCACCCTCACCCTCAATAGTTTTGACGATATATATGATATCTATACATATAATGTACCAGATTGGTGTATAAAAATTAAGCCCTCCACTATTACCAATAAAACACTTTTCAAATGATGTAGTAAGTTTATATGGCTCTAACAGGCCGACATCTGTTAGATACTTGACAAATGTAATCCAGTTTTGGACTGAAAATACAGATTATTTTCGGTCCATTAATTTTCAACAGTATGTATAAATTAGCAATTATAATGAATCAATTTAAAAGTAGAATAAATTATAAACCAATCTGTAAGTATTATTTTACTTATTGATCAGATTTTTATGCTGGAAACACTATCAAATTTAGTAACTGATTTGATGGATCTGGATTATTGAAAAAAATAATTAGGTAAGCAATGCATATGTCAAGATACATAATAATTATATCATATGTTGAATTCCGCACATAATGTTCAGGTGTTAAATTGTTTTGGCCATCTAAACGAGAGTCTTAATTAAGTTTGTAACGGTTTTGATTGTATGTTACTTGATTACAAATCTCTCAGATGACGTTCAAGCACACATTGCAGGATGAAATTTTAAAATTCCTTGGAACCTCGAAAATGCACTCTTTAATAGGACTTCACCAAATCTTTGCAGCGCATTATGAACTAGTCAGTATTTTGATCTCGGCTTTCGGAGAGTCTCAAGATTAGTTAAGATTAAGATTTAGTTTCTTTATTATTTTTTTTGTCGGTGTCCGAGGGTCTCTCGAAATTGGCTGAGTTCATACATTAATGTTTTTGTGTGACATTATTAAAATCGATCTATGGTCCAATGGACCTTATTTGTGTTTGTGTTCTCTGTGCATTTGCTTGTTGTATCCATCGTTTTTCTTCATTCTAGACGCTGGTGTACATCGAGCTATCAACCAAAGACACCTTTCAAAATGATGTTTCCGGTACGTATAAGGAGTTACTTTAATTATGTATTTACTATTAAAATGTGATGTATGATTTAAAGGTACCAGTTGTTTTTTCAGTGGTGTTTCAACCGAGGATGGCCATGTTTAACCCCCCCCCCCCCCCCCCCCTCGG